GAATAATTATATATATATATATATGTATATTAAAACAATAATAATTTTACTCTGTTTTTACCTTTGCAAATGGTAAACAGTCTTTATCTGCTTCCTTGTCTTTTATTTCAAAGTCATAAAGTGCTTTGCACTGAGGCGGAGGTTGAGGTAAAGGTTTAATAATATGAACGAAATTGGTAGGAAAAAAGCCATGGACACCATTGACTTCTCCATGGTACCAATTTTCATCCACCTGTCGACGTAAAATGATGATGTCTCCTTTACTGAATTTAAGATCTCCAGGTTCTTTTCCCTCGTAGTTATACAATGCTTTGGCACATGGTAACTGAGGTACGCCCTGAAAAAGAAGGAAAAAAAAAGAACACTAGAATTAGATAAGTATTATTAAGCAGAATTTATATTATATTCTTTGGGAGAATGAAACTGTATAAAATTGCAAAGTAAAATTACACTCAATAACATTATTTTATTGCAATGATTCCACTGATTTTACCCAAACATGTAGGAAGAGTTTCAGTTCTACGCAGTTTTAACATCCTTTCCCCCTAAATTTTGTGATGATTTTCACTAATACTACAACTTTGCTAGGCACAAGAGAGCCAAAAAAACCTATAATACTGGAATCTTCATGAACTAATTCACAAATCTTTTTTTTAATAACAAAGAAATAAATTGGAAAGTATTCTGACCACTTGAGAGGTCTGACAGAAAAATGCTGCAAGAAAACAGAGCACTAGAATAACAGATTTGCTACCAGACCTTTAAGTCATGTTTTCTGTCTGTCTGACTTATTATTTTCCTCACCTTATTTATTTCACAGGGACAGAATGCTAAGGATGAGGACATAAGGGAGGTGTTTTTCAGCTTCAAAAACAAATCTCACCGTATTAAAGGTGAGATAGTGCATTCTGGCACAACCCTTTTTAATTACTTACTTATTTAAAACCACAGCTAAAAAGAATTACTTGAAAAATTCCACGGGAAGTGTGTATCTTTAGGTTTTCTACACTTGATCCGTCCATCATATCTGAAGACTATAGGTCATTGGTGCTGCTCTTGAATGCATGTCAGAAGGAATACAATCTAATACTATGTCATCCTCTCCTACATACACTGCAGGTATTATTTTTTAATTGTTTGGTCTGTCCTTCCACATATTGCAAGAGTGAGCCATAAAACTCTACAACTCCAGTATTAGGGCTACTGCCTTCAAAACTCTCTTTTCTCTCCAAGTAGCTAGAGGGGAGCTCACTCCCTTAATAATGCAAATAGCAGTAACCTGCATTACTAAGACAGTCTCTCCATAGCAAAGACAGCATTTATAATCAACTAGAGCACAGTATTTCACATCTTTCATGTCATCCTATATGGAAAAGGCAAATTTTAACGAAATCCAATGTTGGTGATATCATTTGCCAGATCTACGCCATGGTATGTCTCTCCCCTCGAGTCTTCTATCAGCTCAGATTGTAAACTGGAGTTGCACTTGCAGTTTCTCAAGACGTATGCACACAATGCAAGGAAATCCTCAGAAGGAATTACCACTTTGAGTCTGTCTCATTGGTCAGAAGACAGAGCGCTCCATAATTTATTTCATATTTAACACTGAAAATTCTATTTTTCTATATGAGACTGTTTGGACATCTTTAATTTTTGTGTATGACTTTATAAACAGATTAATAATTTCACGAATGGATAAATAATATCTTAAATATTAGCTTATTTAATAATTTTCTATTTTAAACAGATAAAGGATAACCACATGTATACACATAGGTACAGATGAGTAAGATTTATATAAGAATACAGGAAAATCACAGCTTATTCTACTGCATTTGGGATAATATAAAACTATTATATAAGCAGGATCCATGCAATTGTTCACAAAAAACGTAATCTTTATACTGATGCAAGTAATATTTTTCTTCATGATCACACCTAACTGTATCAGTACAGAATGTAAGCACTATTGGCACGCTGTATAAACCTGGATAGGGAAAAAGACTAAGAGACCAACTAGAGAATTTTTAGAGAATTGAAAATCATGGCCTCAACAGAAGATTTAAAAAATATTGTAGGTATGTATTTTTTATTCCTGTGAATAAACTGACTGACAGAAAGAAACAGTGTAAATGCAGTAAGGACAAGTGCAGAGAGAGAACTGGGTGTGATAGGGCAGGCTGGAAGCAAAAAGGAACACACCTCTACACAAAAGAGGAGAAACTGCTTGCTTATCCATTTCCATCCCAATAAGAAACAAACAAAAAAATTTACAGCTGTTTAATGATTATAAGCCAAAGAATTACTTGGTAGGAAAAGGGCCCCAAGCAATTCTGGCTACAAGACATATGCATCTCTCTTGCACTGGAGGGAATAGCTGAAGTTCTCCCAGGAATCACCCGTTTTCCCAGGAGAAAGCTTTCTACGTCTCTGTACTGAGGAAGAACTCCAAGATTAGCTGTGTGTATAAAATACAGCTGGAAAAAAACCACCTTTTAAAAAAAGGAATAAGCCCCAAATAATCCAGGAGTGTAAGCGTAGAAGATCATGTTAAAGTGATCAAACTCATCAAGTAGTCATCATTTAAGGGTTAGAACATGATATTGCCTATACGCAGATTATCACAAAGCCTGCCATGAACAAACCTTCACTCAAAAATAAACATCTGATTATATTTTTATAGGAAGCTGCTTTCCCAGTGTATAGGTTGAGTTTTTGCAAAGCTTCTTTCCCACAATAAATAAAAATAGCTACAGCCCACAATTTCAAACAGAACAAAGTTCAAAAAAATACACACTTAGTTCTCAGTCAGACTGCCAAGGATTAAAGAGAAATGGTTAAACTCAGAAGACAAGTCAAGCGAATGCCTTTTCCTGCTGTCCCAGGGGGAGAATAAATCAAGAAGGACCAGTGTGATGGGGACGGGCTGCGGTGTGAAGGGCCCTTGAACGCCATCTTCACATTCCTCCTCCTCTGAGCAACCTGGGATCCACAGCTCATGGCCGGTGCCTTCCAGGCTGTTCTGGTTAGCAGCCTAGGGCAGCTTCAGCACCCCTTCTGCCTCTCTGGCTGTGCACGAGGAGAGAAGGCTGTGAGGATACGCTGAGCCGGAGTTTACATTTCACTGCGCGTCTCTCAGTTGGCTAAACATGAAAGGAAGGCTTTGGAAGAAAAAAATTTGCTGGCTACCCTTAGGTTTACAGCTGTCATTTACCCTGCCAGCTCTTTGAGAAAGCAACAACAACAACAAGAAACACAGACAAAAAAAATAATCGTAGAAATTTAAAATATAAAACCCAGAAAGGCTCTACACAAAACACATTTCTTAGGATTATTTCCTCAGCCCTTATGCAAAATCCTCATGCAAAAATATCTGAACTTCTAATGCTACTGCTGACATACAAACTCTTCAAACTCAATTCTCATGCCAGATTCCTTTAAAGAAAAGAATAATAATATATGATGACATCAAAACAAACAACCAGAATACCAAAATAACGCAGATGAATTCAAATGTATGAAGCTCGGGTCCCTGATTTCTTCTCTCCATCCAGATACTTTGTCCTAGAAACCTAGACAGTTCGCTTACAATTTTCCTCTTTGGATTTATACTTTGTCTTCAGTCAACTTATTTTGAACTTTACTCTTATTTTTTTATTGGACAGTATGCAACTTGACGTATTTTTCATGAGCTTATGCCAAAAGAGACTTATGCCTGCACATGAGGTCTGATTTCCTTTTTAAAAGGAGTTTCTGTGGCAGAAGCCCAAATGTAAATATGCTTACACTGGCATTAAACAGGGTTCATTGTATAACTTACTGCACTTAGAGAACCAGCATAAGCTAAAGTAGCAAAAATAGTAAATCCCCTCCCAAGGAAATGAAGGGAACAGATACTGGGTCATCTACATCTTTGTCCTTCCAAGCCTCCCCTGCTGCGGTGCTGCTGGTTGTCACTTTTCCAAGCAAGGCAGGCATTCCCTCTTTGGCTGGGAGACAGGGATGAGGCCCGGGTTTCTCTGTGAACGAGCTAAATTTATGCAGATTATCTATGCAGTTTTCATACATGTGAAGTTCTCAGAAACTGAGTGTTTTGATTCAAGAGGCCAGGAAGTAATAATTTTACAAAAGTACTGTTTTTTGTAGGACAGACAAAAAAGAATTCTGAAACTGTCTAAATGCACAACCAAAGCACTATCAGCCTCCAGAAAAGCTTGCCTTCTTGGCCACCACAGCAGCAGTTTTTATGCCGAGCTTTCCTAAATAACTTCTGCCTTTCTTTACAGAAAACTGAAAACCTGGAAGTTACTATCACTTTGACTCATGGTATAAAAGGATTTTTAATAATCATCAGTTATTTGCAATTTTCTTAAAAGTAAAGACAGAAAAAAATTTCTTCATCTATCTTTAAATTTTCTTTCCATGCAGTTCCTAAACCAAACTACCAGTCACATTAATAGTAAAGACAAGATGAGAAACTATTACAAAAAAAATCTCCAATTACACAACAACTGTAAGTACAGTGAGTCTAGTGCTAAAGAGGTGCTATTATCAGTTGGACTTTTTTTTTTTCCCAAAGAGCCAGTATTGTAAGACTTGGTTGACAATAAAAGTTGCCTCTTTACAAGGAAAGGAGTTTGTTAATATGCTGCAGCCAACTTGTTTGCAAGGCAGATTTGGGTTGAGTGAGATCTTTATGTGTACAGTCTCCAGCAGGTACAGGTATACCCCACATTTCCTCTTCAGACTCCTAGTCATTCAAACCTTTTTAATGACAATATTGCTTCTTTTAATCTTCTAGTCCACTCTCATTTATACTGTTGCCTTCTTCACAGAATCACAGAATGTTAGGAGCTGGAAGGGACCTCGAAAGATCATCCAGTTCAACCACCCTACCTGAGCAGGATCACCTAGACCAGGTCACACAGGAACGCGTCCAGGCGGGCTTTGAATGTCTCCAGAGAAGGAGACTCCACAGCCTCTCTGGGCAGCCTGTTCAGTGCTCTGTCACCCTCACAGTGAAAAAGATTTTCCTCACGTTCAGATGGAACCTCCTATGCTGCAGCTTGCGCCCATTGCCCCTTGTCCTGTCATTGGACATCACTGAGAAACCTTGACTCAGATCGTTCAATTGCATCATCTTCTAATGTGTATTTTTTCTTTCTTGCCTTATGTCTTTACCAAGCCGATCAGTTCTATGTGCAAGAGTATCCCATTTGCCATCTATAGTCTTTTTATGTCTCTCTCATCTTGCTCGCTCCAATAGATTTTTTTCAAGTCTTAATTTAAAGCCAGATCTGTCTAGTTCAATTTTGTTTCAGCCTCCTTTGTTCTTTC